GGTGGGTTGGCTGGGCCGGGCTCAGAGTGGCGTGGGAGGCAGAGGCTGGTGCAGGCGGCGGGGAATGGCGCGTCCCGGGGAGCCCGGCGGCACGGTGAGCGGCGGGGATCGCTAGTTCCTGCCCCTGCAGGGCTGGGCTGGCCCCAAATTGGCCAGAATGCCGCCCCTTACAATGTGCCGCCCCAGGCACGTGCTTTCTCGTCTGGTGCCTGGACCCGGCCCTGACTGCATGGCTGTCAGTGGCCTGCTTGGCCATAGCAGAGTCTATGTGCCTGAAGACTACAGGCACCAGCCAGCCCTGGTATCCTCAGGCACAACTGTGCCAAAGCCAATTGAATGGTACCCGCTTATGCTCAGGCTGGATTTTGCCCTACGGGCCGAGAGGCTGGTTCTTTGGCGTTTAGAGCCACCCAGAGTTCTAGGATCGTTGTTACTCGCCTGGGGACTCGGAGACAGGGTTTCTAATGAGTGTGTGCACGTGCGTGTGTGTGTGAATGTGCCTGGCAAGCGTGTGCCCACTGCGCAATGTGCAGACTCAAGCAGGGGCCGTGTATACAACTGGGTGTGCCGAAAAGTGTGCAGGCACGATTGAAAATCCAGGCCTCTGTAGCAGTCTCTCTAGAATCCGTGGCAGAGCCTGAACCCGGGGACCTCAGCACAAGACTCTTCCGTCTGCCGTAAGGGAGCAGCTCCATGGTCGGGAATTCTTCAACAAACGTGTTAGTCGGAAAAGGGGCAATTTGTCGGAACAGAATCTTTTCCGCAGCAAGGGTCGGCTTTGATCACTTCCCCAGGCTGATTTTTTTTTTTTCAAGTTTCAAAATTGTTTTGAAACGTCCCCTTTTGACACCAAAAATTCCATTTTTAGGATCCAGAATGATTTTTTGTTTCACAGTGAAATTTAATTTATAGTAAAAAAAAACAAATGGAAAAGGTTGAAATGGGAATTAAACACTTGGATTGAGATTTTGCGGGTTTTTGTTTTGGGATGGGAAACACTGAAATCTTGAAAATCCTCCTGGGACAGGAATAGCATCTCCCCCAGCACTCTCTGTTACTAGGCCGGAGCAATAGACTCTTCTCAGTCTATGGAGGCAAAAACCCTGCTGGGATAGGGTAAGTTACAGGTCATCTTTGCTGCTGGTAGGGAAGCTTCCAAATCTGGAATAGTAACCAACCGGACCTCTTATTATTATTAAAAACTGCTGGGGACTGAGCTCCTGAAAACAAGGGCTGAGTATCTTTTGGCTACAACCCCGCATTAGTGTGTGAGCTCTGGCAATGCGCCTACATCCTGACGCAGCACACTGCCATTTTATCCAAATCCCCCTGACCAGTCACAACCCAGACGTGGGTTACGTGGTATCCGTGTTACGTGGTATCCGTGTTACGTGGTATCCGTGTTACGTGACTTTGGGAGGAGGAGAAGTAGCCACTGGAGACTGGACTGACCCAGCAGCTTGGAGATCTTTGAACACTGGCATTTCGGTCATGGACCTAATTGGAGGTGCCGACGTTCAAGCCGGGGTGCACTGCTCCAGTGCCACTCCCTTCTGACGTAGATGTGGCCTCTCTACACTATGGGTTAGTCTGGGCATAGCTACAGTGATGCAACCCGCCCTGTGCAGACAAGACCTTATTCTTAGCCAGTGAGGTGCTAGGGAAGAGGTTTCGTTGCACTTTGAATCACCGCAGTGAAAATCTTCTGTGCAAGTGTAACCCACTCTTGAGTGCATGTTACCAGGTGGCCCCTCTGTGCCTCATTTGCAGAGGCTGTGAGTCTGTTACTGCCCTTCTTGGAGTGGCTTGGCTCTTTAGCTCAAGCTGTAGCAGCTCACACTGACGCTCAGGAGGTCCCTGGCTCGCTCCATGATGTGTCAGCCAAGAAGGTGGCCCGGCTGTCCCACAAGCCCATCAATTCCATGATGGCCGGGGAGACTTCCCCATTGTGAAAAATCAAGCCGACCTCTATGATGATGTGAGAGTGACCCACCCAGCAATTTACTCCCACATCTTTATGGTCTCACACTCCAGGAGCTCCCAGCTCTCTTTGCTTCCTCCCTCCACTTCGAACCAACAGCACCGGGCAGCTCTTAAAGGGCTTCAGATACATTCCTTATTTCTCCCTCCATGCCTACAGCCGGTGAAACTGAGGCAACCCATTTAAGTGACTCCCCCTTTGTCAGTGGCACAGCTGTTAAGAATCAGGAATGTTGAGGGCTGGTTTCCTGCTCTAGCCACTAGCCCTGCTCCAGCACCTTCGTTCTCCTTGTATTGTTTGAGCAGCAGGCAGGCTGCAGCAGATGTATCAGGGCAGTAGTTCCAGCTGCTCTTTGAATGTGTTGGATTCCTTTCGTTCCTTTCCCCAGCGGAGAGGGCTACCCTGAAGACAATGGGAGCAGGAGCCTGCTTGGCTTGAGATTGACAGGATACAGGGCTGCACACCCATGAACACAGAAGTCCCCCACGCCAGCCAGGAAATGTCCCGAGCTGCACCAGGTGGCCCGTGGCACTGACAGGATGTAGTGAAGGAACTGGAGATACCAGCTTGCCACACCTTAGAGCAATTACAGCTCCCTGACAAACCCAGAGTGATCTATGCCTGCTCCCCCTACTAACGCCCAGAGACAGCTGCTTTCCCAGGTTCATTCCCCAGCTGTTTGCCTGTGACTGTACTTGATGCTCATGCAAGTCAGGCGAGTTAACTCCATCAGTGCCAAACATGTATGTGACAGGCTCCCTAGATAAGGCAATACAAATGCTACTCCCTCTGCCTTGCTATCCACATTTAATTCCTGTTGAGGGGAATGGAATTTCCTGTTGATGGGAATGGAATTTATTGAGCGGTCCGGGGTCGCCATGTGCTGTTTGATTTGATGTCAGGTAGCAGAATCCAATAATAATTAAGAGCTCATATTTATACAGATAGCAATTTTCCTCCTGAAAGATCAGGAAGCACCTTGCAAACTGCACAGAAATCACTCGAATAATAAATAATCCTAATAATACTTTTCCCACTGCTGAAATGCAGCTAGTTCTGGCGTGGAACTCTGCGGCTTTTCGCAACACATAAAAACAACACACAGCAGTTTAAGGCAGGAAAAAAGGCTGAATCCCAAACCTAATTTGTACTGCAAGGGGGAAGCAGGGAAAAGTAAACATGCAAATTGGCCAGGACGTATGGCCCTGCTGTGGAGAACCGTGCCAGGGGATTTTTAATGACTGCAGGTAGTTAGGCCCTCAGGTTTGTGTCTCATTAACTTGGGTGAATTTGCCAACAAGACTATTTGCTTATAAAGGGCCTGAAAGAAATTTGTTTATCTAAATAACAGGTGCTGGACTCTCATTCAATTCTACTTTCTGTTCTCTTCTTCCTGCACCAGGTGGCACTGTGCCATGTATGAATACGTGCCGGCAGCACTCAGGGGTACGTTTTTGTTTCACCTTCCAGTTATTTTAAAAAAGAAGTTGATGGTTTTGGTTTTTTTTTAAAGCTAAATGTAGGACCCTACGTGGCTGTTTTAAATATGCACCTTGCAGCTGTCAGGACCCTGAGCCTGATCCAACTCCCGTAGAATGGAAAGGCCAACCACAAGCATTCAAATATCATTTCAGTCCCGTCCACGAACACCCCCAACAAATAAGCTTGCCTTTAAAATCATGAATTTAAAATAATAATAATACCTCGTGGGTTCTCTTTATTTTCCTTCTAATTTTTGAGCCTATAAGTCATCCTTGGGTCACGTTTTCAAGCTTTTCTCTGCAGCCACAATGGCAGGAAATGTCCTTTTTTTATAATAACCGCTGCTGTTCTCACTTAATCACGGGATTCCAGCAGCTGGGGATAGAATCATGAGTGTTGGCGATGTCACTTCAACAGCAGTCAGAACTAGGGTCACCAACCCTCCCGGTTTTGCCGGGGGTCTCCTGGAATCAGGCCCTATCTCCCGGAGGCTACAGAAGCCAATCAGTGAGATTTTAGGCCACTAAAAGTCTGGCAGCGCAGCGGGGCTAAGACAGGCTCCCTGCCTGCCCTGGCTCTGTGCCGCTCCCAAAAGCAGACCGCATGTCCCTGCAGCCCCTGGGGGGCAGGGAGTCTCCACGTGCTGCCCCAGCACCAACTCCGCAGTTCCCATTGGCCAGGAGCTGCAGCCAATGGGAGCTGTGGGGGTGGTGCCTACCGGGGAGCTTGCCTAAGCCCCGCTGTGTCGCCGCCCGGGAGCCTCCCTAGGTAAGTGCCTCCCTGCCAGAGCCCGCACCCCGGCCCCCCTGCCCCAGCCCTGAGCCCCCTCCCACACCCAAACTCCCTCCCAGAGCCTGCACCCCCTCTTCCACCCCAACCCCCTGCCACAGCCCGGAGCCCCCTCCCACACCCAAACTCCCTCCCAGAGCCTGCACCCCTGCAAACAACCACAGCGTGTTTGGGTTTGTGTGATTAGACAATTGGCAGCCCTCGTCGGAACAGGCCCTGTACAATTTATTCTATGTATTGTGATGGCACCTCAGAGTGCAGAAAGTTCTCCCCCTGCCCCAATCTAAGTATGTTGTGGGAAGATCTAGTCCCAGTATGTTGTAGGTTCAATTATATTTCCCCAGCCCTTATTCTGGCAGTGATTCCTGTTTGGTACCCATCAAAATAAACGTGACGTCCTACGTCCATTTATTCATTAATTTGAGGTCTTTCAAGTCCCTTTAATCCTGATTCCCTGAACTGGCTTATCTGAGCCACCTTCCAAACCCTGTGAGGGTTTGCCCGTCCTTAGCTCGGCAGATTACGAGGCAGGGCTGAGATGACTGGCTCAGTACAGGATGCCTATGCATGCTGCAGACCGGGATCTGTCAATTGCCAGTGTGCCAACAGTGTTATCTGCCACCCTGTGTTTCTCGATTTCCCCTCTGACACTCTCCCAACCCTGTTAATTATTAAAGGAGAATAATGAAGGAAAACGTACATCAAAGTCCAGTGTGAGAGAGACACAATCAGCAGTTCATGTGCAGCCATGAGCCAGCCCACCCCGGCCACCACAGAGCCACCTGGCCAGCCTGGACAGAGGAACCTTGCCTTCGAGGCTGTGGACATCATTGTCGTCGTCATCTATTTTGTCTTCGTCCTTGCCGTTGGGATATGGGTGAGTCCAGGAGCTCAGTGATTTGCTTCCATTAGGGGACAGAAGACAGGCAGTGTGTGTAATCAGCTATGGGCCTCTCCTGTGTGCAAAGATATCTGCTTATAATCCGCCTGCTTTTTTTATTTGTGCATAGTACTTTCGTAGGGCCAGATAGTAGCAGGCTTTGACTGGTATGCTAGGGGGTAGAGAGTAGGAACACTTTCCCCCACACTCCCATGCAGCTCCGATTCCATTCCTTGCAATCCCTGAATAGCACTGAGGGAAGGGTACTGCCGCCAGAATTGCTAAGTATCCCATAATGGATTGGGGGAAGGGGTGAGGTTCCCCGTGGAATGGCTGCAGAAAGGCGAGCTGGGAGACTTTTCTGGCCTAAGAGGGGGAATGAAGCGAAAAGGACTGAATCGGGCATTGGAAAATTTGGAAAGACGATTATTAGTTGATCCCTATTTTCTTTGACCCAGCGGCCTGTCTGGGGAAGTCGTTTTGTTCTCCTAACGTGTGCACTCACTGGGAGGTTGTTAAATGGATTCAGAAGCCCCATCACCCAGTCAGAGGGCAGCTTCTACCCAAGCCAGGCAGCCAACATACATAGGAATGGGGAGAAGGAAAATGGAAGAGCTAGGCCATCACTCCGCACCCCCAGTCTCCGGTGCCCCATGCATCTGCTGCAAGCATGGACCAAAGTTGCTCCATATTCTGGCTTCCAAGACGCAGATGAGAGTGCTGCACAAATCAGAGCGGAGCAACAACTCACAGCTGCTTGGTAACTTCTGGGCACAATGTCCTGACAAACCGAGGGGCTTTCCCACTTGCAAAGTAACAACCAGGCCCCCAGCTCAGAAGCCAGAGAGGCTTGTTAGCTCAGGCTAGTGTTAATAATGGGCTAACAGGAAGCACTCCCCTTCTCGCTGGCCAGAAGCGTTGGCTGGGAACATGCAGGGGACAAGCTGTGTGTTTCTCCCGTGCAATGGGAAGCTCAGGAAGGATTGGTCATCCTAAGGCTCTGTTCTACTCATAGTTCCCCCTAGAATGGGGCAACTCTTCACTGCCCCAGTGCAATCCCATGTGCACACTGTAGTACGCAGTCTGGGGTCTCCGACAAGGTGAGCTCTCTGGCGTCCCAGGAATGGATGGGCTACAGCCCGAGGTTTCACCCCGCTGGACTTACCGGAGCACAGTGCATTATTTCCCTGTTTTAACTATTGTCGCTGCACCTTGAGCGTCTGCAAAATGGTTTATTGAATCCTCCAGAAAGCACTGGATGACCTGGATACGGGGAGTTAGTCAATTCTAGCAGCAGCTGGGAGGGCAGAACTGGGAGGACTCCCAGCATGTTGCTGGCAGGACGACTGGAGAGCGGGACCAGTGTGATGGGCGGGAACCCGTGGGGGGGGGAAAAGTACTTAATGTTTTTTCTGTTTTTCAGTCATCCATACGGGCAAGTCGGGGGACAGTTGGAGGGTATTTCCTGGCTGGACGGTCCATGACATGGTTGCCAGTAAGTCTGATGCTTCCACTTGTTACTTAAAAATTGGGTTTCAAGCAAATCCAGGTACCTGATTGAAAGGTCTGGGGACAGGCACAGTACCCACCCCACACAGCTCTGCCCAGGAGCCTCAGCCCTGAGCTATCGGGACCCTCAACCACAGAGTATCCTCCCCCCACAGCTCTGCCCAGGAACCTAAGCCCTGAGCTACAGAGACCCCTACCTGGAGGAAACAGACAGTTCAGTCTCCCTGGTCTTTTCAGTTCTTAGCTTTTTTGCTCAGGTCAGAGGCAACGGGTTACCTGGTGCTGTGGCTTCTATGACGCAGCCCCACCTGCCCATTCGGAGCTGGATTTAGGTCCACCCCCTGTTCCCAACTCACTTCACATACAGCTGCAGAACAGCCATGGGAGCATTAAATGATTCAGGTCTGCGCGATGCCGTAAAAATCACGTAGAGACGACAAAGAAAACAAGCGTATGGCAAAGCCCTTCGCCTCTACCCTTCCCGGGTGGGGGAAAGGCCACGCTATTGACTGTGTGAGGACTAAAATAAATCTCCGAAATGATTCACGAGAAAGGAATAAAGCTCTTAAAGGGCACGCTTGCGTGGGAGCGAAAGGCACACCTAAAAATAATTTCAACGTTTTAAAAGAATAAAGGTGTCACTGGAATAAATAGCCTTTTCATCCAATTGCAAAATATACAGCTGTATCTCTCTCCAGTGAGTCGCTGGTAACGGAATACAGTTTTCAACCAAAAACTTCTTTCTCTGTATACACAGTGCCCATAAATCCTCTAGGCCTCTTCTGTCGGAGAGGCGTACGAATATATAACAGCTGTTATTGCTTTAATGTGCTTTGTGCTCCAATTTCTCCCAGGTGACATTTAGGGAAAAGCATAGGGGGGGTTTCCATAACTAGAGCGTGGAAGGTTTAAAAGATGTTGGAAGGAAACTGGCTTTTCCCAGGATCTTTACTCTTCTTATTTTTCATTGCGTCTGGTAACTGGGCTACTCCAGGAGGTAATATGGCCCAGTGGTTAGAACACATGATTGGGTGCTAGGAGGGCTGGGTTCCAGTCTTGGCTCTCCTACTGATTCACTCTCTGGCAAGTTGTTTAGGTTAAAAGCACCCTCTGAGTTTTCCTGTTTCTGTTTTCCGGGCCCAACTTGAGATTCTTTGGGCTTGATTCTCAGAGGCGCTGAGCCCCACTTGAGTCCAGTTATGACTGTTTTAGCACTGATGCCTAAGGAAACATATGATGCAATATGGGAGGAGGTCTGCTCTGCTGCTGAAGATGCCATCTTCTGACCACTTGTGATAACCTAAGTACCCAGCACTCTTTGCAAGAGTTGGGAGGTTAACCCCAGCGTCCCAGCTAAATTCCAGTTTGGGTGGCAACATTCTGGCAACTTCAGGGTTTCAGCTTCGAGCTATAACACCCTAATGGGTTTGGTCTTGAAAGATGGTCTCCAAGGCAGGCCTCTCATGTGATACCACAGCAGCTGAGATCAGCTGAGGTGCCAAGAGCCCCTCCAGTTTAACCAAAAGGGTTGGCCAAACAGCATTTCCAACTAATGACTCCCCAACTTTGGCACTAATCTCCCCTCCTGATCTGACAGAGCCCATATATGTGTACAGTATTTCCATCCCATCGCCAACAGCCTGAAGGTGGAAGAAAAATGGCAAACAACCCAAAGTGAGGCTCCTAAATCCAGATTCAGGCATTTAAATCAATGTGGCCTGCCTTTTTCAGAGACTTTGAGGCCCTGAAGTCCCCATTGACTGAGGTCCCTTCCAACCCTGATAGTCTATGATTCTGTGACTGAGGTGAGAGCTTCAGGTACCCTGAAGGTCAAGTCTCATTTATTTAGATGTCTAAACATGGCCTTAGGAGCCTGATGGTAGGGAGCCAGATTTGAAGATTTTGGCCTATAGCTTTTGTTCCCTTTCACCAGTACAAATCAGGAGTAACTCCTCTGAAGTCTGGAGTCCTTTCTGTGTAAAAACCACCCTCAGTGAAGGCAGTCAGGCCTATAGAACCTGCCTTTCCTCTGTCACTGATTACACTACGGGGGAGGGGATCTCCATTGAGTTTGATGATGTTACTCGTGATTTTACATTAGTGTGTAACACAGGGCATGATCCCTCTCCCACTGAAGTTTTTCTCCATTGACTTTAAGGGAAGCTGGAGTGGGGTCTGAGGATAAACCAGTGGTGGGCAAACTACAGCCCGCCGGCCACATCCGGCCCTCCAGCCGATTTAATCTGGCCCTCGAGTTCCCGCTGGGGAGCAGGGTCTGGGGTTTGCCCCGCTCCAGCCAGGAGCCGGGTCGGGGGCTGCTCCGCACACGCAAGCCGCGGCTCCAGGAAGCAGCAGCATGTCCCCCCTCTGGCTCCTACGTTTAGGGGCATCTAGGGGGCTCCGCACGCTGCCTCCGCCCCAAGCACCGCCCCCGCAGCTCCCATTGGCCGGGAACTGGGCCAATGGGAGCTGCAGGGACGGCACCTGTGGATGGGACAGTGTGCAGAGCTGCCTGGCCACGCCTCCGCATAGGAGCCGGAGGGGGACATGCCGCTGCTTCTGGGAGTTGCTTGAGATAAGCGCCACCCGGAGCCTGCACCCCTGACCCCCTGCTATGCCCCCAACCCCCTGCCCCAGCCCTGATCCCCCTCCTGCGCCCTGAATTCCTCATCCCCAGCCCTGCCCCAGAGCCTGCACCCCCAGCCAGAGCTCTCTCCTGCACCCTGAACTCCTCATTTCTGGCCTGACCCCAGAGCCCACACCCCCAGCCAGAGCCCTCACCTCCTACCCCAGCCCTGATTCTCCTCACCCCCTCCAAACCTCTTGGTCCCAACCTGGAGCACCCTCCTACACCCCAAATCCCTCATCCCCAGCCTCATCCCAGAGCCCGCACCTCTAGCCAGAGCCCTCATCCCATCCTGCACCCGAACCCCAATTTCATGAGCATTCATGACCCACCATTCAATTTCCATACCCAGATGTGGCCCTCAGGCCAAAAAGTTTGCCCACCCCTGGGATAAGCTATAGACCCGTAGGGTAAATACAATGGTGACAAGGGTCAAATGGGCACCCTCCCCATGGTCTCGTGATGGGCTGTGGAACCGCAGACAACTATTTCCATGGCTTCAGGATTATTTTTCTTGGCGCGTCTGTGTCTTCCTGTGAGTTGGACACAGACACTACCAGAATAAATAATAAGGCCACTGTCTCACTGCTCTACAGCTTCTGTGTTTCCTACATCTGTGTCCGATACAGTCGGATGTGTGTATTAGAGAAGGTATTTACATTTCTTGGGAGTCAATATATTTACTCAAGATATGATTTCACATTACTCCAGTCAGCCTTTTAATCAGCAGTTTACTATATGGAGAAGTAGGGCTGGTAGCAGTGTTAATTCTGGCCACAGCTTCCGGCTTCATGCAATATTAATATTTTAACTTTCTCAGAAGGTGAGAAGCAGGTCAAACTCCATTACACTTTGCTCAGAGCTCAGCAGTGGCATATTAGGAATCTGCTGTTCAGACAAGGTGTGGTTGGAAAGCAAACTTTCGGTGGGAGGGAAGCCAAAGCATTGGTAACGCACGGCCAGATTTATCCCTGGTGTATCTCCATTGATGTCAGTGGCCAACTGGGATGAATTTGGCCTGTGTAGAGGTATGGCAAAGCTTTGTCCGAAAGGAGAGTGATACTTAAAACCAGAGGTGCTTTATCCTATGGGAACAGCACTGTACCTTGTTTTCATCTAGTTAAGGGATCACTGGACCACGCTGGGGACGGTGTTAAAATTAACCCGAGGTGTTAGCATTTTCCAGACTGCAGCAGTTTTCCATCTATATGTGTTTGAACCCACATTTATGCATGGGTTGCAGTCTTCCCAGGCTCACACGTTCTTTAAGATACATGCGACATTCTTTCCATGCAAGTGTTTCTTGAACAGCTCAAGGTCCAGGCTTGGAGTGTAAATATTTGCCTATAGAAAGGCACTGGATTCTCTCAGGTTATAAATGCAAAAGTCCTTGTTTTCTTTTTGCACATCTTCACTTCCTGGCTACCCCAGAGGGAATACTGGCATGATAACTACTCGCGGGCAATTGTCCCCATTGAAATCAGGGGGAGTTTTGCCATTCACTTCGGTGTAGACAGGATGTCCCCTCCATTCCTACTTGGTCAGAAGTCAATTGGAGTTTTCCTGAGGAAAAACTAAGGCCCAGATGATCCTCAGCTGCCCCATAGATGCAGGGCACACTCTGGTTGAGGCTCTCCATCATTCCTTCAGCCACCTCCCTGGTGCCATCTCCTCCCTACCCCCATCCTAGACCCTGCAATGGCCTCTGCATGGGCTTGGGGGCCATGCAGGGACAGGGTGGAGATGGCGGGGACCCGTGGGGAGGTTACACATAATTTCATCCCTCCAGCCCCTTGGAGTTTAAGGCTGAAGCTGTGTCATCTTCTTGGCATGGTTCCCTCTGGGGCACAATGGGGACTCTCTGTTCTGTCAGCTCCGATAGAGCCATGTGGCCAGGAAGCTGGGGTGGGGCACCAGGGCCAATGCAGAGGCATCCCAGCTGAGGGAGCTGCCAGGTTTGGGGACAGGCCTTCATTGTCTGTTGGAGGGGATAAGGGTAGAGGGAAGAGAAATGCTGTGGGAGGTGGGGTTTCTGTGAGGGGATCCTCACAGAGATTTCCTCCCTCACAATCCACTGCGAGGATCTGACTGTGGCAGGGGGATCTGGGCCTGTAAGGGCTTCAGGATTTGGCCCACTGGGAGAAAGGGGGTTGGTTTCACAGTATTTCCAGGGGAAAGTGCAAAGTCCCTGCAGCCCCTGATTTTGTGAGATTCTCAGAGCAGGGAGATTTGAATAAGCTCTGCCCGCAAGCACCTCCCTTTTCACACCGTGTATCAGAGCCTCCTGAGTTTCACCGATCTTCGTAAAACATGAGCCTTTCTGCTAACCAAGGGTTACGAAAGGAACAGAGCTTAAAGGAGCCCCAGGGACACGGCGTCTGCTGTCACCAGCCAGGGCCCCGGCTGCGAAGGATTGTTTGATTTGCACAACCTCTGCTGAATGGACGTTTTTATAACTGCCCCTCAGGTTATCTTGCTGACCGCCCAGGGAGCTCGAGCGGTGCTGCCCTGCAGATGTGGTATCAGCCCACCACCTGCTAACCTGACGGGCACTCACAAACGTGGGCCTTAGTTCTGCATCCATCACTCCCGCTGGGCTGCATTTTGATGGGGCAGCTCGCGAATAAGGGGAGCAGAGTCATGCCCCGAGCACGGAGCGTGAGGAGTGATCACATGAGGATACATGGCACATGATGCATTTATGTCACACTTTGAAGCTGAAAGCGCTTTACAAACCAGCAGCTAAACTCTGATCACACGTGGAGGGGGCCTTCCCTCCCTGTAGGGCATCTCAGACACGGCCATGGCGCCAGCCTGTTCCCCAGACATTGCAACTAGCCCCTCTGCTAGTCTGGGAGGCGGGATCTGCACAGGGGGGCGGGGACTGAATAGGCCAAGGGAGAAGTAGGTGGAGCTTAAGGATGCAAATTGCTCTCACACACGCACCTCCCCCACCCCAAGCTTGCAGACCTTATCCAGAAAACATGCCACCACCTGGAGCTGCACCTTCCTTGGGGTCTCTGCTGTGGTTGGGGATCCCCCTTTAGAGGTGGCCCGGGGACACCCCTGTTAACACGACTCCATCGCACCCACTTTGTTGGGGTGGCACATAGGGCAGCAGCTGCAGTGGGGAAAGGGGATCTCCAGTGGGATGGATCCCAAGGGAGCAGCGGCGTCTGGGGTGGGTCCCGCAGCCTGCACTGATACTCTGGGGGCAAAGCAATAAATGCGTGGGGAGATTCCTCGCACTTCATGGAATACCCGTAGATTGGAATAAGCCATAAAGAGGCTCCACAATAATTTACATGTTTACAATACATAAACTTAAAAGGAAACAAGTGCTTGTTTCAAACAGGCCCCATCTTGAATCTGTGCTCGGAGCGTATCCATCTGTTTACCTATGTAACTGCTATGGTATCTCTCACTGGCGTATCTGAGCTCCTCAGAATTCATGAAGACAACTCGGCAGCGGTGTCTGTCGAAGGGAAAACTCCCACTGAAGTCAATGACTGAATGAAAACTGACCGGATGAGGGCCAGCACCAGGGGGCAGACTCACATAGGTTAGATTACTTTAATAAGTCAAAGCACCGTATCCTTTAAAAAAAATCCATCAGACAACAGCCTCAGACGTGACAGCAGGCCAGGCCATAGGGAAGTGCTTTATGTTGCTTAGAAACCACTTGCAATGACTCTCTGCATCCTCTGCCTGTGCTGTGTGTTTCAGATTGGAGCCTCCCTGATGTCAAGCAACGTGGGCAGTGGCTTGTTCATCGGCCTTGCCGGCACAGGAGCAGCTGGGGGCCTCGCCGTCGGGGGCTTTGAGTGGAATGTAAGAATCCAGGCTGCCCTGGAGTTACAGTTTACAAGGGGACGGGGTATGGGTTCCATGAATCAGTTATTAACAGTATTGTCAACCCCCCCAGTGCTCACAACTCCTGAATCAGGCCCCCTCAAAATCACGAGATTGTCTTGACAATCATGAGATGTAAAATATGTCAATGTGGTGGTTCTTTTTTTTTACCTGCTGCTTACTGAACCTTCAGGGAGCTCCCAGGTCACATTTTTAGGCTGTGCTCTGCAGCCATGAAGGTTAGAAACTATGTTTTTAGAAAATAAAAGTGGAGATTCCCACATAGTAACAGGATTCCAGGATCTGGGGCTTTAGGGAAAACAACACATCTCGGAAAAGTAGGGTTGCCAACATTGTATTTCAAAATAAGTGTTCTTAGCACCCACTCCCCACCCTTCCTCCTGATATTATTATTTTATTATAATTAATAATAAGCAGTACTTGCTTACATTTGCCAGGGGTATTTATTCCTGTTTTTTGCAGCACTCAGCAACTCCTGATCTTGTTGTATAGAGATGAAAAAATAAGGGGCATCCCTTGTAATAAGGTAGTAGTTCTCAACCAGGAGTCCAGGGGCCCCTGGGGGGCCATGAGCAGGTTTTAAGGGGCTGCCAAGCAGGGCCAGTATTAGACTCACTGGGGCCCAGGGCAGAAAGCGAAAGCCCCACCATGCAGGGCTGAAGTCTGAGGCCCCTCAAAGCCTGAGCATCTTAGTTTCGTGGGGTCCCCTGTGGTGTGGGGCCCCGGGCAATTGCCCTGCTTGCTAACCCAGAACACCGGCCCTGGCTTGTATATGCAGAAAAACAGTTGTGGCACAGGTGGGCTGTGGAATTTTTATAGCATGTTGGGGGGGCCTCAGAAAGAAAAAGGTTGTGAACCCCTGTAATAAGGGACTGTGGGCAACCCTACACACAAGACTCACCATAAAGCCACAAGAGCTAATAACATTTCAGGTTCCAAAATGTGTGTTTCTGTGTTCAACAACTTGGTGTGAATTGGGGCCTATTGAAATCCGTTGGAGGTTAGCCGCTGACCCTTCGAAGAGCATGAACACTAGGTGTAGCACGTACAACTCAAAAGGAATTACTAGGTACGCTGGCTAGAAGTGAGTCTGGTGCTAGTTTTCCTGCAATACACATCCATTAGATAACTCAAAATCTCTGCTGTTCCATTCCAAGACCTCCCTTGAGTGGAGCCTGCTAATGGTGCCAATTTATCCCCAAGGGGCACGTAGGAATCCACCCAAGATCAATTTTCTTGCATATATTTTCACTGCAGCTGGTATTTTGGGGAGTTGAGATTTGGGTCCCGTTGCCAGTTCCAGTTTGCACTAACAAGCCCTTTCAGCAGAACACGGAGCCTACGTGCAGTCCGTGCGCCATCAGACATATTGATAGATTTTGTGATCATGGAGAGCAAACATGACTCCACTAGTTTTAACGTCTCCATTTTGGCCTGGGCTGGATTTTGGAGCAGCAGAGTGCGATGGGAGAGAGAACTTTAAACTCCCAGAAGACACTTCATGTAAAACAAACGATCCATTTCATTTACCATGTGCAGGTGCAAATCCAGTTCAATCACACAGGAAGTTGTCCAAAAGTCCATCAGAGTCTTCCTGTTGCTTCTATTTCTGCTGCTCAGAGAGATTCTGTTCATTCAGCATCCTCGTCTGCTAACCTAGTCATACTGTCCTGCAAAAATCATGAGATGCTCGAAGGCTTCTCCGGAGCCAAGAGCCTGAAGGTCAGTTAGACCTTGATCCTCAAAGGTACTTGGCTCCTAACTTCCTGGGCCTTAGAACCTTGGCACGAGTGGCAATGCCACTGGTACTAAAGGTCACCAAATACTACATCTCCTTTTATAGACCCTAGTGCAATGAAGTGGAATCTTGCCAAGGAGGCAAGGAAGTGGAACAGGATCTGACATCCTATAAAAAAGAGAGAGACGCGAGATCTCCAAAGGCTTGTCACTGTACTAACAGCAGTGTTCATCCTGTTCTCATTCACCCATCTACCACCTTGTCTTCCAACCATAACCCCCAAGTACCAGGATTTTCCTGTCTGTATGGCAGAGCAATACTTTGCTTTAGAGATGCCACATTCCTACGCTGTCTGATACTGCCCAGGGCATGTACAGAGAATTTGCATGGTGCAGAGTCTATCACATGTTTTTAATTATGGCCTTTTCTTTTCCTTCCTCCCCATTTCCAGGCTACCTGGGCGCTGCTGGCCCTCGGCTGGATTTTTGTGCCTGTTTACATTGCTGCAGGAGTTGTCACAATGCCCGAGTACCTGAAGAAGAGATTTGGAGGACAGAGGATTCAAATCTACATGTCCGTACTGTCCCTCATTCTCTATATATTCACCAAGATATCGGTATGTATCCCACTGGAAAGCAACACTGTGTCTACAGCAAGCTGGCTTCATAGACAGAGTAATCACTCTGTGAGCCTTACAGTAATGTTACAAATAATTAAGGAACATATTATGCACCATAAATGCCCTCTTGCAACCCCGTACTCTTCCCCATACATCAGACAAGATCCTCAGCTGGTGTAAATTGGCTTAGCTCCATTGACTTCCATGTACACCATCTCAGGAGCTGATCCATTGCATCTCGTGTTGATTAAATTCTTTGCAAAAATAATCTTAGCATAATAGCATTTCTATGATTATTTTCTTTATTGAAATTTCTAATGTTAAGAATTGTATTTTAAGGAAACAACTAGTGTTATCTCTAGTCCCTCCACCTTCACGAATTGCTTCTATTGTTTCAATCTGTAAGATGAACGGGAAATGTATACCACCTTAAGGCACAGCACAGCACAGTGTTCTTAAAGCATTTTTAGTCGCAAGCCAGTAGCATTATATGGCACATGAAGCAATGTCAGCTTCTGATCATTTGAATGCTGCAAAGAAAGGAGCATATTCTCTGCTCAGCGCATTAACAGGAGTTACCTGTGCACCCGGAAGGAGGATTATAGTGCAAAGTCTTAGGCACAGGAGATATTCATTACCCAGGGGACTAGCTAGTTCAAGGGACTGGTCATAGAATCATAGAATATCAGGGTTGGAAGGGACCTCAAGATGTCATCTAGTCCAACCCCCTGCTCAAAGCAGGACCAATCCCCAACTAAATCATCCCAGCCAGCGCTTTGTCAAGCCTGACCTTAAAAACCTCTAAGGAAGGAGATTCCACCACCTCCCTAGGTAACCCATTCCAGTGCTTCACCACCCTCCCAGTGAAAAAGTTTTTCCTAATACCCAACCTAAACCTCCCCCACTGCAACTTGGTAATGGGAACTACAGTTTTGTGTCTCTAAGCCAAAGTTTACTTCCAGCCCACATCTGTAGTGACTAAGGCCTGGATCCTCACAGATCCTTCCGCCAGTGGAAGTTTGGAGCCTAAATACCTTTGAGGATCTGGGCCCAAATGCCCTTCTGGCATGATGACTTCTGGTCAGCTTCTGTGAGAGGCGTTGCTGGCACAGGAGGGTACCAGATATTGGGAGGGAGGGAGCCTGCAGCTACTCCAGACTCATCACAGCTATACAGTGGCTTTTGGGGAAGCAGTATTTTTCAATGCCTTTCGGTTCAGTGGTCTGTGCTTAGTATTCACTGCTTATTCTCAGCGACCTCTCCTCTAAGGCTAATTCATACGCGTCTGACAGGTGTGTCTGGTTTAGCTTATTGGCCTCGGAGGTGTTTTCTCTAAGGTAACACCTTTGTTTTCAGAGTGCGTATTTAATGGCTGGCTCGACAGCGGGAGGTTTGGTTATGAGGGGGATTTTTCACGCCGCAGTTCCTGCTGGAAAGTAGGTTAATAACTTTGCTGCTCAGTTTCATAATCCTCCTGCTTGCCAGGAGGAGCGGCGAACTGAGTGAGTGATGGGGTCAAAGTGTGTGGATGCACACTCTTTATATTTCCTGCTGGGAAGACAAAGCGCATATCCATTATGTACAGGAGGCTCTTCACTTCCCCCCCCCCGCCCCCCTGCCACTTTGTGTATCTGGGGGCTGTAAAGATCACGAGGGCTAATGGAAGCTGGATTTTAGGGAGATGATTTGGGGGCAGAGAGGAACACGCTCTTTACCACTCCATTCTGTCTCGCTTTCCCATGGACGGTGTCTGCATCTTTCCACATCCCAGGTTTACAGATTTCTTTGGGGTTGATTAATACAGAACAAAACCTCCCCACTTGTTATGTGCCACCTACTGTATTTACAATGGGTGCATCTCAATTTTAATGCCGCTTTGTTTTTCAATCTGGCCTCGTTTACTATCCCCCTCCACAAAGTGAGACCCAGGGAGCTTCTGCGGCTCTAGGTCAGATCTCCAACCTGCATAAATAGGCCTAATGTTATTGAAGTTGTTAGAGCAACCCTGATCTACACCAGTGAGGAGCTGGCTAGGGTCCATTTTCAGATAGATAGGTTGAAGCACAAGACATTGGCCACTCACTCATAGTCTTTCCAGCTGATAGTCCATCACTCTGACCATTAGACCGTGTAGTCTCCCACGCCCAGGGTGATACCAGATGTTCTGTTTTAACAGATGCCAATGACCCCACCTACTAGAAAAGTGAGCTCGGACTAACCATTCACAACACCCACAGTGCTTGGGACCCTCCCTTGTTTCCCAGTGACTCATGCTCTTGTCTGTGCATTCGTCTGGTTCCCCTTTCCAATGTCAGGAGCCTTTTCCTGCTGAGAGAGTTCTGACCCTGTCTGAATGAGGTGCCGATCACTTACATCCCTGACAGGCTGCTCTAAGTTGTGCTGTAATGGCTTCTGTGAGCTACTGCAGGGATATAGAGTTGCTGAGGGACAGGCCTACCTGATCTCACCCCGGAAGGCCCCCCCCACGCTAGGGGTATTAACCTGATGGGGAGGGTTTATGCGTGTCTGGGGCCTGGCACACGGAGCCACAGTGCAACACCGAATCAGGCCCCATGCTCTCCACAGCTCAGTGCACCTTTTTGATCCTATTGTGTCTGTCCTTTTCCCCTCTGTCTCCCCCTCCCTCGCTTTCATAGCATCCTCCCTTCTGGTTGGGTTTTGAGCCTTCCGGTGGGCTGGAGATTATGTCAGAGAAGTGCTAAGAAATGCAACCCACTAGAGACTCAAATTCTCCTTGCTCTTATTCCAGACAGATATTTTCTCTGGAGCGCTGTTCATCCAAGTCTCCCTGGGCTGGAACCTTTACCTGTCCACCGTGATCTTGCTAGCAGTGACAGCTGTCTACACTATAGCTGGTAATGATACTGCCTTAAAAGCAGCACACTAATCTGGAGTGTGGCAAAGACTCGCTTCCCCCAATGCATTTTACTTCTCTGCATTCTGGGCCCAATCCAAAGCTCATTGAAGTTGATGGAAAGAATTCCATTGACTTTGAGCTTCGGATCAGGCTCCCTAGTAATGGAGCGTCTGAGCAAAATACAAGGTGGGACAGATAGTTAAGCATAAGGGTTTCACACATGCTGTAGGACATTTTGAGTGGCCCGTTCCATAATGCAATCTACTTCTCTGGTAGACTGTCCTTGTTTAGAGAAGGTGGTTTAAGCATGTTTTGGTGTATATCCTGGATTTTCTCCTCAGAGCAAATTCGGTGATAGCTGAGTGCCTGGCTGTAGACAACAGATTGATTGGCTTGTCTGGGGTGGTTGCTGGATCTGTGGAGGTAACTGTGGGGATCTGTGGGGTTTTGGTATATAGTCTTTTATAGGGTTCCATTTTTGACTAAACATGGACTTAACAGAGAGACTAGTTTTATGGCTTTTTACAACAATTTGTAACACACCCTACTGCCTGCTAACCCTTAACTGCCCACTTCATTTTAAGCGATCTCCTACAGCACGTGTGAAACCTTTATGCTTAACAATCCGTCCCACCTTGTATTTAGCTTGGACACTCTGGTTACCTTCTCCAGACCTGAGGAAGAGCTCTGTGAACCTCGAAAGCTTGTCCCTTCCGCCAACAGAAGTTGGCTGGATATTACCTCACCCATTTGGCTCTCTCTTACTCTGTGGTTTGCCGTTCTCCCTACAGGTGGTTTAACCGCTGTGATGTACACAGATGTGCTGCAGACTGTGATCATGGTACTCGGGGCTTCGGTTCTCGCCTTTATAGGTAAGAGGAACAAGGGACTGTGTTCCCTACAATCTGAGTCAAACAAGGAGCTAGGCCCTATGGAGCATTTTTTCCCCTCTTTCAACAGAGGCCCATAATTTAATATTAATAACAGGATTCACAGCCACATTTGGCACCTGTCCCCATAAACCAAGCTAGCTCCCCTCTTCCTTGTTTATTCCAAAGTGCTTCTTTTAGTTGTGCCAGGTGTTGAACGCCTTTTGCTCCCTTTGGGAGTTGACGGAGCCGCTTGCTGGATCAGATCCTCTGAGTCAAACTCTGCTCTAGTGCCCGTAACTCCTTTGAGTTTCATCCGCCTCCACTGCTTTCCTCCAGTGGAGTTACTCTGGATTTACAAGGGAATCATTGGGAACAAAAACGGACCCTTAGCACGTTGCTTTAAGCCTGCCTGCCAAACAGTAACCCAAATGCTGCCTCCTCTGGTTTCATGTTTTCCTGATGAGGCTCTTCCAGAGGGTTTTGATCAGCGACTCTGGGTTCTAGGGGGAACTTTCTTGCCAGTCTGGGTAATGATGCCACTGCTAAGGGAATTCGGTGGTGCTGGTGCACTGCTGGGTGCAGAATTCCCCAGATCCCATTAGCATCCCAGCGTTTCTGGGTGCAATCCTGCTACCCCCACCACACACACCAACTGGGCCACCAAAATCTAGGTTTGAGGGCAGCAAGGAAGAGAGGAGGGGGGAAAAAAGCAAGAAGGAGCGAGGACAAGATGGATGAATGACCTCGTAGCAGGGCATCAAACCTAAACCACTGGCTGCTTCCTTCTCAGGGTTTGAAAAAGTCGGCTGGTTTGAAGGACTTAAAGAGAAATACAGCACCATGATACCCAGTGTCATAGTCCCAAACACCACCTGTCACCTCCCACGCGCTGACGCCTTCCACATGCTCAGGAACCCTGTCACTGGGGACATTCCTTGGCCTGGGCTTATCTTCGGCCTCTCTGTGCTGGCTACTTGGTGTTGGTGCACTGATCAGGTAAAGTAAGTCTCTTTTCTCTTTCTCTCTCTCCCCTTCCGCCTTTTATCCCAGTATCGTCCTTTCCAGGCTGCTGCACTGTTTGCAGAGTCACGGGAATGATGAATGTGTGTGTCCGTCTGTCTGTCTTTGGGGGGCCACCGCCTCTGCTGACTGGAATAGACCAGATCTGCTCATTCTTTCCACAGCTCCTGTTGCAGTTCAATGCTTCGGAGTATTGGGGGTGGGGGGCTTGTTTTGATGGTGGGGAGCAGCAGGGTGTGATGTTTTCCCCTATGTGCACAGCTGGCTGGTGAGCAAGTGGGGTCTCTTTATGGAGGTAGGCAGTAAAAGCCTCATTCTGAAAGCCAGGAGGTCTGTGTTCTGTTCCCGGCTCGGCCAATGATATGGCACATGACTCTGTGCAAGTCACTTAAATCTCATCTATGACCCACTTTTTTGAAATTCCTGCACACAAGGTGCGGCAGACGCCCGAAGTATTGCGCAGCGGCAGATCACCACCAACGTGCAGTCCTTCATCTGTTCACGAACTAGGAGCCTCATGTGAAATGTACTGAGCAAATCATAGAATATAGAATCTCAGGATTGGAAGGGACCTCAGGAGGTCATCTAGTCCAGCCCCCTGCTCAAAACAGGACCAATTCCCAACTAAATCATCCCAGCCAGGGCTTTGTCAAGCCTGACCTTAATACTAACTACAAAAACCTAGGGTGGGCTCAGAGCACAGAGAAATGGGCCCTTCTTTAGACAGCCCGGCTCTCAGTGTTCAAAGGTGGGAAATTCAGATCTGCTCACCGCAATCCAGTGTGGGATTTTTAACAAAATGACGTGTTCTTTTTCACGCCCTACTCTGAGCTCTTGTCTCATGGTGCTGAGTGCATTGTTGAGCAGCGGCTGCGTTTCACCCTAGAGGTGGCTGCATTGCAGTGGCGGGTGAAGTGATGCCGGTAAAGGGCAAGGGAAAATTTCCTCGCTGCAATCAGACCCTCGCTGGTGTCAGCAACAGTGAACCATGCAACAGAGATCTGCAGTGCAGATCAGAGAGGAGAATGTTATCATAGGCTTGCAAAGTGCTTTGGGATCCGTCGAGATGAAAGTATCCTGCATTAGATGATGAGTCTGTTTTCTCTCTGCAGGGTTTTCTTTTAACTCTTTCCATTTTTATACTGACTGCAGGTTATAGTGCAAAGGTCTCTCTCTGCCAAGAACCTCTCCCATGCCAAGGGTGGATCGGTGCTGGCGGGTTATTTGAAAATGCTCTCTATGTTTTTCATTGTCATGCCTGGTATGATCAGCAGAGCTCTTTACCCAGGTAAGCTGTTGTTCCTTACCGTTGGACTGTTCGTGGATTGCGAATACAATTTCCTTGTGTCGGTGCAGACCTGCCAGAGCTCAGCAGTCTTGCCCCAGGGTTTATCTCCATACAGTGCTATTGGCAATTCAGATGGAGCTACCCAGCCCCTGACTCCACTTCCAGGTTTGGGGTGCTGCTTTAGGACATCTGTGGCAGAAGCCATTGGAACAGTTGCAAGGGACAGGTGTCAAAATATCATCTTGTGGACACTGCATGTATCTAATAGGAGACAAAAGAGAGAAACATGGAGACATAGAGTATGTTTAGACTGCACCCTAAGCCCAGGCTCTGACTCAGGTTTGAGCCCAACTTTCCCTTCCGTCCACACACAAATCTGTCTGACTCAGGTCAGCAAGTACTCAGGACCCGGGTCCTATAAACCTCCTAGGGGGGTGGATCAGAGCCCAAATCCTACTGTGACTTGGGTCCTAGCCCTGTCATTTTGCAGTGTGGAGGCAGGTCAAGCCGCAAACCCAGGCCAGAAGGTCTGCATAGTGCCGTATGGACGTGTCAGCACATCCAGCAACGGTAAGCCCAGGTTTACAATGGAGTGTGGGTGCTCTAGCACGGGCTTGGAAACGCAGAGTCCACAAGCCCAGGTCCCACCGACCTAAGTTTACAGGGCAGTGTAGACAGACCCATACAGACTTTAGGGGCGGGTCTTTTGAGTCAGACATGGAATCCTGTTTGTTCCGTTAGGACGCTGATGTAATAGTAAAAGTATTTCACCTGAGACACCCCTCTTCCCCCTGCTTTGTCATGGGTTCTGCACGGTAGGCAACTGCCAGGCTGAGATTCTGCTTGTGGAAAGAAGCAAGATCTCCCCTCATCTCCGCCACCCAGAGCAAGCTGTGTTAGAACCAGCTGAGTCCTCAGATTCTCACTGTTGCTTCGGATCGGGTTGCTGTGAATGCACTAGGTGCAGGGGGAGCCAAGCAGGGCTGCAGTGTTTGTTTCCTCTGTCCCCCTCTAATGATGGCTGGGCCACACAGAGAGATGGGTGAGCCTGCTGCAGCCTTAGCTAATGGCGCCGGCTCTTTTAGCATAGGCAGTCAAGACTCATGCGTTTAGAACCAGAGGTCCCAGGTTCAATCCCAGCTGCCACCAACCCATCTAGGGGTGTAGCGTTCCATCTGCTCTGAACCAAGTTTGCAGTGTGTCATCATGAGGCTCTACCTTTATTTGGGGGCCCGAAATGTTCTTTGGCTCCCATTGTGATAGCTTGGAAAACTGTGTTCTTGCTGTTTTACTGCCTTATATTAAATATATAAGATATCAAGAATCAATTCCTTTAAGACAGTTTCCAATAGCTGGAGTAGATATGCCACAAAGGAGGTTTAAGCTGGCTGGTTCGGTTTCTAATCTTTCCTCTCTGCTACAGATGAAGTGGGATGTGTGGACCCGAAAGTCTGCGAAACCGTCTGCGGAGCTAAAGTGGGTTGTTCTAACATTGCCTATCCTAAGCTTGTAATGGGACTCATGCCTGTAGGTGAGAAAGCTGTATTCTTAGGGGTGTGGACTTGTACTAGCACTGAACAGCTGTGTTCTCGGAATGGAGTGGCCTTTGGAGCTATCCATATGAGGAACTAATGTCCTGCAATTATCAGTTGGTTTGGTAAACAAATTAAAAGATAGCAAAGTTTTCTTTCCATTATGTAGCAGGCAAGCGTGTGTGTGTTTGACAAAGAGATGGATAAATAGAAGTAGCCGCATTGAATGGAAAAGAAAAAAGTATTTGCTATGGCAAAATATCAAAAGAAAACTAAAATCCCAACATATTTTTCAAAAAATGCTATGGACATTTTCCAATTTTTCAGCCAAAGTTTTTAGTTTTCACATTTTTAATTGAAACAGTAAAATTCTAAAGAAAAAAAATGTTCCTGGAAAATTTTTATTTTGAAAAAAGGGCATTTTTTGGAAGAAAAAAGAATTTGACCTTAAATGTTGACTAGGTCTAAAAAAGTCGAGGTGGGCCCGGACCAGAGCCGCAGAGCCAAAGAGCTCTCTGGACTCTGTTCACGTTCATATGCAGGAGCTAAAAGACCAACAATCTGAACCAAATTTTCCTTGTTGGTTTCCCAGGACTCCGGGGTTTGATGATAGCTGTGATGTTGGCAGCCCTGATGAGTTCCCTCACCTCGATCTTCAACAGCAGCAGCACGCTCTTTGCGATAGATATCTGGCAGCGGCTCCGCAAGAAAGCCACAGAGCAGGAGCTCATGATTGTTGGCAGGTCCTCTCACTTCCTTATGGCTTCACTGAGCATGTTATTTTGATGGCAGGTCTTAAACTCTCCAAAATGTTCTATCTGGACTCTGGGATTCATAGATTCCAAGGCTGGCCAGAAGGGACCACTGTGAACATCTCATCTGATCTCAGAGAACTGCCCTGAATCAATTCTTGTTTGAACTAGAGCGTATCTTTTAGAGGGAGGGGAAAAAACAGGTGAAAATTAACATGCATGTTAATGAAAAAAGTAAAACTTGAGATGAGTTATGTTTCCCAACTTTACCTGGAGTAGATTCAGTTACATAGACAGGCTCAATTTGCCACTGACCTGGAGAGATTATTTCTTCTGTGTTCTCTAAATTTGTCATAGACACCTGTCCTAAGCACAATCCATAGTGAAATCATGGCACCCTCTATTGGCAGACTCCAATACTGCATCACACCAAGGCTGTAAAACAGTTCCCTTCCCACTAACACTGTTAATAATAATCTGCACTTCTGTAGAGCCTTTTATTGAGGTCACACATATTAAGTAAGCTTCAAAACATCCCTGTGAGTTAGGTGAAGGATAGAGAGGGGTGAAAGCATCAGGTGTTTAATAGTACACAGCAATACGGCACACCAGCTCAAGGCAGAAATGGAGGAGGATATTGAATGCCGCTGAAACTTCGGTGGGAATTTTATTAAGTAGGAAGTAGTGACTTAGTTGGAATTTGGTAACGGCACTAAAGACCTCTACTCTTCTGAAAGGTGGCTGTGGGATTTTAATGATCACAAGTTGTCAGGGTCTCTGTCTCATCCAAGAGACAGTGCCTCCGGCAGTTCCCACTAAAAACGTGTCGGGTTACTGGGGCAGTCATGATTCAGCTAGCCCTGAGATTGCCACGCACAGAGCCACCTGCACCACTTCTTGCAGTGCTCTGGATTCTCCTGGGATCTCTCCCATTCATTCAGGTCCTTACAAGGCCCCACACAGCTTAATTTGACCACTCTGGCCAGATCTCAGCAAAGGGTTGTTAGCTATCTTCCTTAGGAGAGTGAAATTTACTTCCTGCCTGGTTACAAGGAGAAGCCTGTCCTAGATTTCACTTCAGATGAGGAATTCACTCAGGGTGCACAATGGTTTTCCCTAGAATTCATTGAAAACACAAGGAAGTGTCTCTTGATTGGGGATTGCATTTCCAGGTGGATTCTGAAACATGCCGAGCTAATACTCTTTGTTCCAATCTCCGGTCTTCCAGAGTGTTTGTTCTCATCCTCATTGCCATCAGTATTCTCTGGATTCCCATCATTCAGATGTCCAACAGCGGTCAGCTCTTTGACTACATTCAGTCCATAACCAGTTATCTGGCCCCACCAATTACTGCCCTCTTCATCCTGGCAATCTTCTGCAAGAGGATCAATGAGTCCGTAAGTGAGGAATCAGTGACTGGGCTGGTATGAATAGTAGTACCACCTCAGGGGTGTGTGTGTGTGTGTGTGTGTATTCTTAGTAAACATTCAAGTGGATTATCGCAAACCACTATCTGGAAAAATTAGAAATCAGAGGAGTTAGAACTGGTTCGAGTTCTTTGGGATTAACAATAAAATGATTTTAAACAGGAAATTTCACAGGACAGGATGGTTGGGGGACTGGGACTGGTCTATGGAACCTTTTATCTCCAGGTTACCCGTTCAAACCCAGCCCAGCAAAGCTGTGACCATCACAAAGTGGCTTAGTGGCATGAGTTAGTGGGCCTTACCCCTGTTTCTATTGGATGGGTGTCAGCTTCGCAGAAGCCACCACAACTGGGGCAAATTGGCAGCCTCAGCAGAGGGGCCATGGAAACTCAACTAGCTTCATACTCCTAGAAGTGGTCCCTCTCGGTCTAGGTCAGTGAGGGGCAAACTTGCACTCCCACTGTCTGTGCTGTAACTGCTCTACATAAAGAGAGGGCGTTAGGCCCAGATCTTCAAAGGTATCCAGGTTCCTAACTTCCATAGCTTTGAGGATCTGGCCTTAGTCTCTAGGCGACAGATCCTCGGCTGGTGTAACTTGTTTTGGCTCCATTGAAGTCTGTCCATCCAGCACGTTTCACTAGCTCGAAATTCATTTACAAAACACCAACCATGTTTGGCTTCCCTCCAGTCCAATATGCAGAGGTGGAGACTCAGACTTCTACCATTCCCCTGTGTCTCTCTGTGCCCTCTTCTTTCCTCTGTCAGCGAGAAAGGGGAGCATCACTGGGGCTGTTTAATCCCATTGTTCTGAAAGTTCCACTGGGGCCTGGTTCTGCTCCTGACACAGGCTTAGCTTTCTGAGGCAGGAGGAACCCCCTAAGGGATTTCAGACCCTATTTCAGAATGTAGCTCAGGGTCCAAATTACTTCTGGAAAATTGGACCTGTTTGCTAGACCCCTTGAAAACAAAGTGGCAGTGAAAATGAACCCCTGCTCCTTTTTCCAGTAACAGCCCTCCAAGCGTCTTTCCTAACCTTTCTTATGGTTCTGTCTCCCCCCGTTATGGTGTGGCCAGAAACAACTGTCTCCCCCTGGGAAGGACTACCGAGTCTTCCAAAGGCTTTTACCCCTGTTTCTGAAGCATGTGGGGTGGCCACTGTCTGAGACACGCCGTGGGACTAGATGGACCAATAGGTCCCAATCCTGCAATGAGATGAACCTCAGTGGAACCTTTTGCCCACCCAGAGCCTCACTGAAATCAGTGGAAGGACCTTAACTCAGTCGGGTCCGACATGTCTGTCTTGCAGTTAGAAGGGTGGGAATGAGTAGATTACAAATTCTGAGGGCCATTAAAGGTATCTAGACCCTCCCTTGCTGTCCTGCTCTGTTGACTCCATCCTGGAGAGAAGGGACCATTCCCAGAAAGGGACTATAATCCCCACCCCCCAAAGATGCTTTCAAGGATCCCTCACTTCCTTATGCGTCTCTTCCTATGTTTTCTTCCCAGGGTGCTTTCTGGGGCCTCATGTTCGGGCTGGTAGTAGGTGGCATTCGAATGATCATGGAGTTTTCCTATGGTGTGCCATCCTGCGGCGAGGAGGACCCAAGACCAGCTGTGCTAAAGGATGTGCACTACCTGTACTTTGCCCTCATTCTCTGCGTGCTCACGGGCATCGTCATTACCCTAATTAGTCTCTGCACCCCACCAATCCCAGAGGAAAAGGTAAGCAGCTCTCCAGTTCAAACCTTTCAAGCCCCGCCCCATCATAGGGTCCAAGAGTTCTCCCTGATCTGTACAGCCCTGGCTCTCCTATTGCTGAGATCTCAGGGCCTATAATGCACGTCTACAAAGAAGCACCTTTCCCAAGCCCTTCTGTTTTCCAGGGCTCAGAGTGTTAACACTGCTTGAGGCTCAATGAATTATTGAAATGGAGTGTGAGTTCCCATGCTGTATGTACAGCTCTGCACACACACACCACAGCACATCATATCTGGGAGAGAAGGTAAAGAAGTGTGTTGCTGAGAAGGAATTAAATAGATCTAATTGAAGCTTCTGTCCTATTTCAGCAAAGCCCCCATCAATCTTGCAAGCAAACAAGATTAATATCTTTGCAACACTGGCATTTAGAGAAATAACATTCCATCCCAATGTGATCTCAATTACATTTAACAACATAGTGTCATGGTACAGAAGAAAGCAACTTTCTTTTACTTACTGTATTAAAACAGAACTGTGCATAAAGGTTAAGGTTTTATTGAGTGTCAGCTTAAAGAGATACTGTCAAGTAATTTAGGGTCTAAGGAGGTTTGGTTTCCTGAGCGGTTGCATAAAAATTGGGGGCAGGAAAAGGAAAAAAACATCAGGTGCTGCCATGTTCCATGACTAGTTTTTTTTAAAAAGAACTTCTGAATGGGGTATAGGATATATAGATTCTCTGGGCCACATGTAGCCCTGGTGTATCTCTGTTGACTTCAATGGAGGGGATAGGTTTAAATCCAAGTGATTGAAATCACCAACATTACTCATGATTTAAATCATCACTTTTAATTGAGTCTTGCATTTATACGTTTTAGTTATTTTCCTATTGATTCTCATTGGTTGATAACCATTAAAACATGTCGATTTGCAACTAAATATAGCCTTTACATGAAATTTGGTTCTTTTTGCTAACCAGGAAGATGCACCAAACTTACACAAGCTGTGATTATGTCATGTGACATTGACCGCCGTGACATTTTCTGCCCTGGGGCTGGAGCTCCCACCCAGCCCTGCCCTCGCAGCCCCCAGCCCCCAAACTGGTGGGGGGACCCACAGCTGCCCAGCCATGGCCCATAAATCATAGAATCATAGAATATCAGGGGAGGAAGAGACCTCAGGAGGTCATCTAGTCCAATCCCCGGCTCAAAGCAGGACCAACCCCAACTAAATCATCCCAGCCAGGGCTTTGTCAAGCCTGATCTTAAAAACCTCTAAGGATGGAGATTCCACCACCTCCTTAGGTAACCCATTCCAGGGCTTCACCACCCTCCTAGTGAAATAGTGTTTCCTAATATCCAACCTAGACCTCCCCCACTGCAACTTGAGACCATTGCTCCTTGTTCAGTCATCTGCCACCACTGAGAACAGCTGAGCTCCATCCTCTCTGGAATCCCCCTTCAGGTAGTTGAAGGCTGCTGTCAAATCCCCCCTCACTCTTCTCTTCTGCAGACTAAATAAGCTGGCCAGGGCCAGCAGATGGGGGACCCTGCAGCTACCAGCTGCCCAGGCGAGGGGACTCAGCAGCCGCCCAGCCCCAGGGCAGGGGAATCCCGGAGCTCCCAGGCACCGCATCGGTGGGGGACCTGGAGCCCCAGCACAGCGGGTGCTGAACCCACCTCTCCCTTTTGTCAGGGATCCTTTTAGTGAAAGTCAGGGACAGGTCACGGGAAATAAACAAAAATTCACGGCAGCCCAGGACCTGTCCCTGACTTTCACTAAAAAGATCCCTGACAAAAACTTAGCCTTAATTATATAGCTTAATGGGCATTTATTCAGATTCTTAATTTTGACATTATCTTAGGAAATGATGCATTTTTTATTTGCTAGATGATGATGAACTTTTTACTTGTGATTTGTGTCAAACTCTATTTGGATGGAAATTCAAATTCAGTTCAAATGCTCCAAACCGGCATTTTAAATTGTGTATTATTTATTATTATTATTTATTTATTTATTTATTTTATTATTATATTTATTATTTATTATTAAATAAAGCTACCTTAAATGTGCTGGATACGTAAGAAAGTTTTCTTATCAAAACATGTTTTTCATTTAAAACTAACTGCTTTATTCAACAAAGGCTGCATTATTTGAAATTAGTGAATTGAACTGATTATTTCTTGTCACCGTATCCTTTAAGATTTTAGAACTAGTTGATCTGGTCCTCTCACACCTAGTTTTTATTCACTGATTGAAAGAGGCACACAGGTTTTCCTTGGTTTTCAACTCCCATTGGTTTCTTAACTTTGATTGAACCAGTCACTGAACTGAGCTAGTTGGATAAACTGAAACGAAGAAAATACCCTCGCTGCACTTGTAGAAAAGCCCACTGCTGTGAAAAGCTGGGTTAGCACTTCATACACTTGTTCCAGGTTCTTAGCCAGTGACGTCCACCAGCTCGGTGGTTTGACATTCTTTAAAAGTTGGCACCAAATATATACTACTCGATATTATTATTTTTTGCATTTAATTTAAAAGTTTTAATAGATTCATGATAAATATAGGCCTTAACATAGGTTGTCATTATTTCAAATTTCATTTTAAATA